CCGGTGTCGGCAGACTGCTCCGAGGCAGGGCTTACCCGGGAGCAGTGGGGTCAGGTTAGGAGGGAAGCTCCCCGGGCATTTTCCTGGTTTAGCTGGAACTGCTTTGCGAGGGTTTGCGCCGGGAAGAAGTGGTTCCACTTGGCCAACTCCCTTGGAAAGGGACTGTGGCTCCCAAGTGCAGCGCTCGCTTCTTTACCAGTGGCTCAGCTCGGGCTTGCTCCCCTCTAATCGACGAGAGACGGAGGGAGGGAGAGCTTCCCAACGCAATCTGCCAGCTCCACATTGTTGCCCCGCTCCAAAAATAACCTGTTCTGAGCATGACGTGACGGCTCGGCTGCAAAATGCGTTTGTGGCTCTCCAGGGGAGCCCAACAGGTTGGCATTCATCTCCTCAGAGCACAGCCCAGCCCGCTCTCCCTCGCTCAGCAGCGTGTGTTCAGATTTAGGCGGCACCCTTTGGAGCTGACCGGACTGGGAGCTGTCGGATACTGAGACAGCAGCTCTTGTGCCACTCCGTGCGTGGCTCCGCTCGCTCCTGCGAAGCTGCGGTTGTTCAAAGGCTCTCTCAGGGAGATCTGAGCTCTGTAAAAGACTCTGCCCCGGTAAAGATAAGCTTGCAGGTTAAATTCGGCTGGGAATTGTCTCGGAGGTAAAGGTAGAGTGCGCGTGCTGGAACACGGCGTTCCCGTTAGCTGCGCCTCTGGATTAAATGTTTGTGTTGCTGCTCGTCGTTCCTAAAAAGGACTTGCGTCCTTCCATCCCCTGGGGAGTTGGGAGGTGGCCCCTGGGAGCAGCGCTCCTGGATTTTAAGGGTTTACCATATGTTTGCTTTTCCTTTCTCAGTCTCATCCAGTGGTTTGACACAGCACCGAGCCGGACTTGCCCGCAGTGCCGAATCCAGGTAAATCCATCGCCCCTTTCCACGCCGCTATTTCTACGGCGCGGTGCTCTGAGAAATGGCACCGAGGAGCCGTGGCCTGGGCCTGCGGAAGGGCCACACAAGGAAAAGGTTTGTGGTACAAAGTGGAGAGAGCTTTCTGTGCTCAGACGCTCAGAGGGTGCACGCCTGGGAGCTCTCGTTGAGAACAGCAAAGGCTGAGGAGGGAGGGAGGGATGTGCTCTGCTGCCGAGATGGGAAGCCAAGGCTTGGGGAATCCAGTGGCTTAATCAGGACTCCTTTGAAGTCCCTTGTGTCACCAGCTGCGATGCCACCAGTGTGCAGTGGCTGCGGGAGATGTTGTCTCCCGCCTGGCTGTAGGTTTTTAGCCAGCTGCAGCTGGTTCGTGCTGCTTGCTTCTGCTCAAGGTCTTGGCCCTTGTTCCTTCCCTGACTTGTTGATTCCCTCTGTTCTTCACTGCCTCTTACATCTCTGGGTTACCATGGAGTTATCGCGAAATAACATCTCATGTAGCAGTAACTATGCAATTAGCTGGTGTCATGACTGTATATAATACTTAAAACACAAAGCTGTAACTGCATGGGGGAGGTGTGGAGAGCTATCAAATTCAATTACAGCACCTTCTGCCTGCAGAAAGCGGCACGTACTTCTGTCTTAAGATTTGGCATCGTGTTAGCTCAGCGTCAGCTGCTTGGGCCGTCGCTGCCAGAGAACAGACTGCGCTCGATTCAGAAATGCCTCAATCTTTCTGCTGTGGCTTGGGAGCTTGGCTGGAGTCGTGCTCCCGAAACGGAGTGGTGGTGGTTGGGGGGGGGTCTGCTGCTGTGCTGATGAGCCAGAGCAGAGTGTTGTCACTAATGGTGTCAAGTGCATGATTTGATGTGCCTTTTGTGGCCTTGTCAGAAGATGGCACCTTCTCTGACTGTGTTCCGTATCTGTTGTATTTCCCTCTCTGTCCCCATCAACCTCTTGTGTCTCCTCTGTTTAGGTCAGCAAAAAGCACATCATCAGTAAGCTGTTTTTTGATGTTGCCCTGGAGGAGCAGACAGCACCAGATGCAGAGGCTTTGCAGGTAATTTGACTGAGTTCTTCTGTTGTGTGGCGCTTCAACATCTTGGAAGCGTGGCCTGGGCTGCCAGTCCTCCGCCAACAGCCGCTTCCTGAGCTGATGCTCGCTGTGCTGTGCTGGTGTTTCAGAACTGAAGCATGTAGGTGTCTCTGTTTCCCCTCTTGGTCCTTGCACAGCCTCTCCTCTGTGGTAAGGAAGCCTCCATGTGTGGTGGTTTAGAGCTCTCCCTGACCAAATCTCGTGTGGTGACTCAAGAAGCCTCCTCTACTTCACTGCTCTTCCTTCTTGGTTCTCACCTTACCTGGAAACCTCCTGAAGCAGCATTGAATAAACATCCAACTGTTGCTTCTCTCTTGGGTCTCAAAGCCTTGGGGATGGGGCTACAGAGCCTTTTGCAAAAGGCAGGAGAAGGAAAATCCCAAATGCGATGAACTGCTGGTGTCTGTGGCTTGGTTGTGTGCTCACCCCTCTGGAAAGGAGGAAGTGCCACCTCCTCACGTGTGTGCAGGTACGTTGGACTGTAAGGAAGTGGGGCAGGGTGCCCATAGTCTTGGTTTCCTGAGAGAAATTGGGAAAGGGACTGCCTAGTGGTGGACAGTGCTGAAGCTGGGTTCTTGGAGGGGAACCTGGCTGGAGCTGGGGTGCTGGGTGGTGTTCTCCAAGCGCTACCTGTATGTGCAGAGAGCTGGGGGTGAGAAGGGCTGAACGCAGAGTTCCATGTTCTCCTCCTTTATTTAGTGCGCGTGAAATGTGGCTCCTTATGTCTTGGAGTTATTTGTTCCAAAAAAAGTCATCGGTTGACCTTGGTATAATGGGATGCTTGTAGAGCGTGTGCAGCAATTACCATAATTAGCAGTTGCCATGACAATGCTGTATGTATATCGTATGTTTTAAAAACCCAGCCAGCCAGGCTATAATGTCAGTAGCACTGTCATACTCCAAGTCTGCTAATAAACTGGAGGGCTAAGCATGTGTGCTGAGGACATGAGAAAGCATCTCCAGGCGCTTGAAGCCCTAGAAGCAAAGCAGTGGCTCGGAGCAAATAAACATTGCCTTCAGAACACATTCAGATCTGTTCTCACAAGCGTAAATAGATGAGTGACTCAGAAATGGGTTGACTGGAGAAATTTGCCCTAGAAAAGCTTCCTGTTCCCTCCTACCCCCCACCCCAGGATCTGAGATGGGTTCCCCCAGCCTTCCACTCCAGAACTCCCTTGCTCGTGGGCAGGACTGCGGAGCTGCTCCTGCACAACAAGCTGGATGGTAACTGGTTATGCTCCCATGAAGTCTGTCGTGTGGCCATCAGAGTAACGTGTCTAACAGGGAAGAAACAAGTATTTTCTGTGTAGGTTACGTTGAATGGGCCCTGTGCACTGATTAGGGCTGATGCTGGTTTGTTGGCAGTTGTGTGTTGTTTCTGGCGGATTTGGAGCACCTTAAGATCATGGGTGACCATCATGGGTGGGATTGAATGTCCATCTAGGCTGGAGTTATGTCTGCAGTGGGGTATCTACTTCTGGCCTGGGCAGAAGCTCAGCAAAGCAGACCCGGTGGACTGTCCTCGAACTCTTTAGAAGCTGAGAAAATAATTGGTGACTTCCTCAGCATCAAGGGAAGGCTTTTTTTTCACCTGAAAAAGCCCCCACATCCAGGGTTTGTTGCCAGCTGCTGCCTGTCCCTGCAAGAGCCTGGCTGTGGAGTGGTACTCAGGCTCCACAATCAACTGGAGCTGTAACTGTGCAGCCCACAGATGTCCTGAAATGAGCGTTTGGCCTCCTGCCATGGAAAGGTTGAACCAGGGCAAGGCAGTGTTCTTCAGTGTGCTAGAAAGCTGAGTGCACTGCTGTGGCCCGCTTGTTGTCTTGGGGAGACAAGCTCGGGATGCTCCTCTGAGAACCACTTATGCACGCAGTTAGAAGTGGTCAGAAGAGCCCCCTCATCTGCACCATCTTCCCGTTGTTGCAGAATTATCCAAATTATCTTTTGGATAATAGTCTTTGCTGTTCTTCACTCTCACTTCTGTGCTGTAATGCTTGCAGTCAAAGGACAGCTGGAGCTGCTTTGCTTTCCATCAGCTTCAACTGAAACACTGGAGTTTTTTGGTTTCCTGGGGTGGCTGCAGCCTGAATGCTGCAACATGGCCAAGCGTTTCTGGGTGCTGAGTGTGGGTTTATCCTGTGTTGCTCTTAAAGGTGGTCTTCAGTGCTGAGAACAGTCTCCATGAGGCTGTTCCCAGACCAGGAAAAGTGTGAGTTTTGGGACGTAACATCTCGGTGAGGCCCATTTGGATCCTGACTCTTCCAGTCACTTGTCTGTGAAGCTGAGAGCCCTTCTTCCAAAGGAGACCAGGAGACTTCAGCTTGACAAAAAGGAGGCAGGAGGAGGAGCATTCAAAAAAAACCTGCTGGGAAGGGTAGGAGCCTGGGAAGACAGCTGCCTGTGTGTGGACAGGATAAACCCGTTTGATCTTGTCAAAATATGGTCTCATAATTTGGGCTGGCAGAGAGAAGAGAGCTTCCAAGCAAGCAGTGAAAATGGAGAGCAGCCTTTAGGAGCAGTGCTGGAGGATGAGGGCTTTCAGATTAAGATGATGAATGAGGTAATGTTACATAGCTGGCCGCAGTAGCCTGGGATTTCTTTACTCTCATGCTAATGAGCACATCTTGTGGGCTCTGAGGAAGCCACTTCAGGATGGTTCCTGCAGCAGAGGTAATTCCCTGCCAGCCCTCGGGGGCAAATCCAAGTCAGCCCTGCTAGGCATCGCATCCAGTCCCTTCTGCTTCCCAAGCTTTGCATCCCCTATTCTCTTCCCTGCCATTACTGCCACTAGCAGAGCCTTGCTGTGGTCCCATCAGAGCCGTGGTCACTGGTAGTGCTATTCTGGGCTCAGATTTGCATGTAGTGTTCCGGGTTGCACAGATTTGTGTGCTCTGCTTCAGTACTGTGTTAGCAATTTATTGTGGTTTTATTCCACTGCAGTTCCTGCCTGACTGCAGTTCTCTAACACAGCTTTTTAAGTCATCTTCTGTTGACTCTTTCCTGTATACATTTTTCTCTTGCTCTGTTTTTTTTTCCTCCCTTGAAATATGTATTTTTTATATAGCTCGCTTCTCTTTGTAACCTCTCTACGTTTCCTTTGGCTATTTGCCAGTGCTCATAAGTCACATCACTGCCTTATCTGTAATTTAAACTACGGGGCATTTTTCTCCCTCTTTCTGGTCCTTAGTGCAGGTGTCAGAACCACTTGACCGTCCCCAGACCCTCGTGGTACCCAGGAGATGTTACATGCCCTCGGTCTGGTACGGCTCAGTGTATCGCTCATCTGTTTATGGCTGTTAGCTCATATCAGCATCCTGAACCGCAGTGGCTTCAGTGTCTGTCAGAACGCTAGCTGGAGCCTTTTGATTTTATGCTTGGTTACCTTTTCAGGCGTTTGGATGTCCCCTCCTGTCTCCCACCTGCGCCCGATTTAAAGTTCACTTCAGTTCAAAGCAACTCTCAAGCCAGTCAGTCTGGCAACATCCCTGCCTCGTTGCTTTGTTTAGGTAAAACGGCATAAAAATTGTTCCTGTCTGATTTCCTGTGTTTCCCTGAGAGCCTTCCAAAATTATACAGCTAAAACAAGATGACTGACAGCGTGAGAAACACGAGGTTGACAAGGCTAAGACGAAACTGGGATCTTCTCTTCTCCCCCTGCAGAATGCCAGTTGGAGGTGCTCTTTGTGTTCCCTGCGATTGTACTTGCTTGTAACTTGGTGCTTGCTGTTGCCGTGTTCCCTTCTTAGCCCCTGGCTGGTACCAATGCTGTCCTGCCCAGAAACCTCGTGAGTCCTTTGAAGATGTGGTGAAAGCTCCTGTGCAGGGCGTTTCCTAACGGGGTTTTCTGTCTTGTGTTTCAGAATGAACTGGACCGGGTGAAGGCTCAGCTCTCCTTTAAAGGTGAGTTCCAGCTGCTGGTGGGGCATTGGCAGGTCCTGGGCTCTATGCTGGGATCTTTGCTCAGTGCTGAGGAACCCCTATGGGGTTCCCTTACCCTTCTCCAAAGCCAAGGGCGTGATGCAGGCTGCACGCTGTTTTGCTGGAGCAGCTTCTTTGGGGCTTTTTTTTCCAAAGCAAGACCACCTAAAGCTTGTATGACAGAGCCTGACCCAGCTCTGCTGTCACTGTGGAGCTCTCTGCGAGTTTGGAGGCACGGATGCGAGTTTGGAGGCACGGATGCGAGTTTGGAGGCACGGATGCGAGTTTGGAGGCACGGATGCGAGTTTGGAGGCACGGATGCGAGTTTGGAGGCACGGATGCGAGTTTGTTACCCCTCCTCCTAATCACAAGCTACAGAAGTGCAGCACAACTATACTGGGAGCGGGCTTGCCGAAAGCAAAACCCTCGGTGTGTTCACTGGGAAGCTCACAGCTGTATGTGGCAAACGCTTGTTCCTTCTAACAGATGAGGGGGTAAAAAGTGGTGCCCAAAAACAGCAGTGGGAAGGCTTTGGATTTGTTTGGCTGTTGCAGCGCTACATGTGTTGCGCGAAGAGCAGACGGAGTTCAGCATGTGCGCTTCCATTTTCCTATCTTTAATTTTAGAGGATGTTTGAGGGAGGGAAGGAAAAGCAAAAGCCCTGGAGACTTGTCGATGGGTTTTAAGCATCGTCTGTAGGCAGCCTGTCATCAGAACATGAGTCATGAGCAACGAAAGGAAAATGTCAGTCTGAGTGACAGAAAGCCGAAGACACACTAGCAGAAGGGGGGGAAAAAAATAAATCTTTAAAGAATGCTGGGGGCTCGCCCACGCCCCGAGAGTCGTCTTTCCTCTGCCTTCCCTGCGTGCACGAGACAGCCATGAATAGCCAGTAGCTTGAGGATTCGGTCCTTAGCCTGAGTGCAGAATTGAATGGTCTGCACGTCGCTATTCTGAGGCCTGTTCTCTTGCCAGCTTGGTTGAGTTTAGGGACTTGGTAGAGAGCCAGATCTTCTGAGGAAAGGTGGCTGGGATTCTTGCTAGGATGTTCTCCAAGAAAAACTGCTCGAAGGCTTGCTTATCTACTCGGCTTCTGGTGAGTAGAGGTTGGATTTGACGTTCCCTGTCCCGTTCTGTTCTCATATTGGAAATGAGAAGCTCCTTCCCACCTCCTGCCTCCTTTGCTGTGGGCACTCTGCTCTCTGGTGGTTCTTGTGTATAATTCTTCACTTAAAGCTGTGCTGTGTGCTGTAGTGGAGCTGTGTAATTGCCAGTCTCTGATTAGCTTGCAAATGGTTCAAGAGGTGTGGAGCTCTGAGCAGACCCAGTGAGAGGCACTTTGAATGAGCCCAAAACTCATTCCTATGGCATGAAGAGGTTTGACTCCTGCCATCTGCTTCTGGGCAACTGGGAACGGAGAAGGGGGAAGCCTAAACTCTTTTGATGGATGTGGAGTCCCTGCAAACACAGGGGACCATCTCCAGGCTGTGCTGCCTCTGGTGAGGAAGGGTTATTCAGAGCAGTGGAGAAAAAATGCTTTACTCAAAACAAATCTGTGTTTCTCTAGCCACCTGTGTGCTTCCACTGGGATATGTTCCTCTCCTTCCCCTGTCCCACGTGGCTCTTTCACTGTCTGATTGAGCAGTGGAGCTGCACCGCAGGTTATGCTACTGTGGGACGTGGTGGCACAACTTGAAACTGGATTGCTTGGATGGAGAATCAGCTTTTTGGAAAGGTACTGATTGGCTTTCTGTCATCAGGCTGAAGCCATGGATGATTTCTGCAAAGACAGAAGATGCTGAGCTGAAGGCTTCACCCTGCTCTCAGCAGGGTCACATGAAGGGATTGCTGCTTCCCGCTTCCCCTCATTGCCCAACTGCTTTGAACTTTCCCAGTAATGCTGGGTGCCTCCCTGCTTAGGTCTGTCAGCTCCTGATGGTGGTGGTTGCTTTCTGGGCTGTCCTTCCCTTGTCTAGACAAGCAAATTGAAATCTGGTGGTGTTTTCCATCACCTTCTCTCTGCTGGTCTGAGACGTGTGCTTGGTTCCTGGATTGCCTGTGTGGGGAGGGACAGCAGGACTCAAGAGATATTTGTGACCTGCAGAAAGTGGGTGCTCAGGGGACCCTGCCAAGTCCCCAGTACCCAGCAGAGCTCTGCTTTGCTGCCTCTTACCCTTTAACGTAGGTGCAGCACCACGGTGACGCAGCAGTGGAGGGGATCAAGGTACACAGCCACCTGACGACCCCCAAAGGGCTTCCCTGTGTGGGGAGGATGGGCTGGGGGCTCTGCTCTCCTGCTCTGTGACAGTGTGGTGTCACCCCAGAGAAATGTGTTTTCCTGGCTTTGTGAGCATGCAAGAGTTAAGATGTATCAGCTTAATCCTAGCAGGGCTGGCACTGGAAAGCTATTAAAGGGAACTTGTTATCTTCAGTAAAGGAAATCTTGAAGCCTACTGGCACTGGGAGAAGAAATTGCTCAGTACAGACTCTGGTGCAGGCAGCACTTAGGGAAGTGGCTCTCCATGGGAAGGGTCAGCTCCCCGCAGCTGGAGCCCAGGACTGCCAGCACTGTCTGTTTGTGCTGCTCTGACTGTGGGGCAGCTGAAGTCTGGGTTATCAGGCCATGACCTTTTCTTTTTTTCTTTTCCAGAGAAAGAAAAGCGGGAATGTCAGGCCCTCGTGGACAGGCTGAGGGACACTCTGGATGTGCGCAATGCCACAATAGAGTCACTCCAGAAGGTGCTGGGAGAGACTGAGATGCTGTGCTCCTCTCTCAAGGTACCTTTCCTGTCCCTAGCAGGACTTCAGCACTAACCGTTGCACAGTCACTGTTAGTTTTGTTGAAGATCTCCACAAGCCCTGCAAATAAAGACACCGATGGTGGGATTTTTTGGATCTGGCACCTTGAGAATCCCATCTCCTTGATCTCTGAATGACAGCAGGGCGGCATGGCTGGGTTTTCACTTTGGTTTTAGCCCTCCAAAGTGAGTGGTGTCACTGGTCTCGAGGTCCACCTGGAAGTGATTAAAAACCTGGCATAAAAGCCAGGCCTGTGGCTGCATGATGAAGGCAGAGGTGGCTGGAGTTGGGGGGGGCAGAAGCCAGGCCAGCCTGGGGGATGCTGGCTGAGCTGTGCTAATGAAGTGGCAGTGCTGATCATAAAGGTAGCAGCATGAACTGAGAACAGGAGCTGGCCCCAGTGCCCCATTGCCGAAACGCTGGCTCCCTGTGGTAGAATGTTCTTCTGAAATGTATTTAGACCAGGCGGGATTCAAGGAAAATTAGTTTCTTAGTTTCGTTGGAGGAGAACTCAAACTGAAATGTATGGAGGGGGAGCTGTGAGCTTCAGCTGAGTGGGATTTGATCCAGCTAACTCTCCTGACTCTTCTGTTGCCAGGGCTTTCCTTCGGTTAGGTTAGTAATGTGTGAAGTCCAGGGATCAAATATTCCTGTTGTGTTTCAGCGTGCAGTGACTCAGTGCATAGTCATGTACTGTGCATAAACAGCGAGTGGAAGAGGGGAAGAGCAGGAGCTGCTTTGTTGAGATGTCTTGTAGTGAGAGGTAGGGGATCTCTCAGAGATCTCTGACCCAGTTGCCTAAATGGCATCACGTTCTTTGACCTGCAAGGCCAAGTGGCCCAGGGAGAACCTGTAGATGGGTTGTGGGGTTGTGTTGCTGTCTGCCACCTGCAGCTGGGCTCTTCCTGAGAGGAACCAGGCCAGGAGCTCTGACACTAGCAATGGGGTGCTGTCACAGGGCAGAAGGAGAGATGTAGTGAGGAATCAATGCCAGATAGGCCTTGCTGTGAGCCAGCACAACACTTATTTTTTTTTTCTTTGCCTGACCATTGGGATTATACCCAATCTGCTTGGATGTAAAGGCAGCCTGGGTCTGGGCCATGCTGGAGATGCTCCTGAGATCCTGGGTGCACCAGTGACAGGGTACTTCTGATGCTCCCTACTCTTGCAGAAACAATAGTGACAGTGGACACTGCTCAACTTGACGCCTCTGCACTGGGCTTTCCTGCCTTGGCACCTCAGGAGAAGGCTCTGTGCTTATCTTGACTGTTGTAAAACCCTCTTTGTATGCTTAAGTCCTTCTAATGAAAGCTAGGCAGGGCAGAAGGATTAGGGACCTGGAGGTATCTTTTTCTGTGGTGTACGGGCTTTCCCAGCTGAATGCCAAGCTCTGTCTTGTACTGCGTCATTAAAGATTAAAGCACTGGACTTCTGCAGTGAAAATACAGGCTTAACCAGCTGTGACGCAGGTCAAGCCTATGGGCTGTGAGCCATTCCTGTCTCTGCTGGCACTGTCAGCTGCTGCTGACCCTCTGTGTGAGAGTTTGCTGCCGTTTTGGGCTGGCTGAGGCTGGGGACCATGCTCCAGCCTGACACAAAACGCTGCTTGGGGGATCTGAAGTGCAGAGAGCTTTCGTTGGGAAGAGCCAAGGATGGGCCCCGCTTAAGCAAGCGCAACACGTGAGCCTGCAACGCTGTCCCTCTGCAGTGTCCCAGCAGTTTCACAGCTGTTTGGTTCCTGTGGCAGGAAGTAGATCAAATCCTTTAATTTCTGCGTGGAAGGGAGCTTTATGAGGTGATGGTCTTCAGCCAGGCCTCTCCCTGGAGTCAGCACTGGGCTGAAACCAGGCCCAGAGCCTTTTGAGGGTGCTGCGTGAGGTGCCCAGCCACACACAAACCTGGACAATGTAGGTGTGTTGGATTGTGTGAATTCAGGCCAGCTTTCCTCTGCCACACTGCAGATCTGTGCTTTTTCAGTTCGTTTGAGGTTCTCTTACTGCTGCCTGCACTGGAGAGCCTGAAAAAGCAATGGCTGCCATAGGCTTGCAGCCCCTCCAGGCAGGGGAGAGTAGTTGCCCCAATGGTCATCTTCTGTGGCTGAAGTCTCCCAGAAGAGACCCACTCTGCATTCCTATTTATGCCCTAAGCAAGGAGAACTGAGAGGCTAAAGGGATCTGCTGTGCACGGAGGAGAAAGCAGCAGCAAGGTTTGCTTCCTGTGGATTCCTTTGCATTTGAAAACCGAATTGTCACCGCATACAGGGTACCGCACAGCCCTGCAAATGCAGGGTTTTGTAGCCTCCTCCAGCAGGAAGGAGGCTCTGAGGCAGTTTCAGCGCCAGGCTTGTCTTGTGATTAGCACCGAGACCCTGCTGCACTCGCAAGGAGCAGAGCTAGGGGTGCAGTGGGGAGAGAGCTCAACTCTGTAATCCTGGGCTGTTGAGGTGCTGATAGCATTAAGAGCCGACGCGTGCTCAGCTGCCCGCAGTGCGCATAAGCCACGATGTTTCTCTAACGATCCCTGGAGCCTTCCTAACGGTCTGCGTGCGCTCGCTTCTCTGCAGAAGCAGATGAAATTCCTGGAGCAGCAGCAGGAGGATAACAGAAGTTCAAAGGAGGAGGCCCGCCGCCTGCGGAACAAGCTGCGAACCATGGAGCGGTGAGATCTCGGGCTCTCCCTGCGCCTTGCAGGCTGGGCTGCGTGCATCTCCCCTTCTCAGAGAAGGTGGGGAGAGGTCGTGCTGTGCCTGCTGCAACACCCACCTCCATGTGCTGGGTCATCTTTGCCCGTAGGGTTGGAAACTGCTGTGTTAGTAGGCTGGTGCTTGCCTGCCCGTGCTCTTGCCCCTGCTGTGCTTCCTGATGGATGCTCTCCATAAGCAGCCCCAAGCCACAGGATTGTGTGCAGGCTGGCCTTGTTTCTCTGAGCGTGGCTACGTGCCTTTCCTGCTATCAGAGGGTGCTGGGGCAGCATCCCAGCCCAGGAACAGTCGGCTGTAGGGCCCAGGAGCTGGGATGTCAGCCCCATGTGCAGTATGTGTGCACAGCTCTCCCTGATCTAGTCTATTCACATAGTGCTGCTCTTCCCTAGCAAAGAGCCCTGCTTCTGGTGGGGTGGTTGTCTCTTCCCCTATGATGTCCAGAGTCTGTGCAGCAGGAGCTTAGACTGCACCAGCTCCTTGGGAGAAAAGCAGGGCTCCGGTCTCTCTTCTAGCTATGTTTGTGACTCGTGAGCTGAGAGTACTTTTTTAATTTTATTTTTCTTTTTAATGCAGGATTGAGCTGTTGCTTCAGAGCCAGCGCCCTGAAGTGGAGGAGATGATCCGAGAGATGGGAGTGGGGCAGGCAGCAGTGGAACAGCTCGCGATCTACTGCGTCTCGCTGAAAAAGTAGGTGCTGCAGGCTTGGCACAGCCGCCTTGTGTGGTCTTGGGCGTGCATAGGGAGAGCCCTCCGCTGAGCACCATCAGGCACATGGGCTCTGCAGGGCTCTGGCTGCCTGTTTGTGCCTCCACTGGGTTTTGACTGACAGATCCTGGGGACCTAGATTGGAGCCTGTCACACTGAACTGTTCCTATTGTCACTGCAGTGACATGCATGTCACCATGGGAACTGTCTCAAGAGTTGTCAGTGCTCCTGTGAGGTGATGATTATTCCCTCCTTTCTCCTCTCATGCCCAGGGGGGGAAAGAACGGATGAGGAGCTCTGGGTTGTACCCTGTGCCGCGTTGCACTGTGCAGCTGTGCCCTCAAGTGCTCTCTGGCGAGGCAAATCTGCAGTGCTGCTACCTGGAGATCCATCTGGTCCTGCTGGGCAAAACCACAGCTTCTTTAGGTCTGTTCTCATGGCAGCTGAATAATTGCGGCTTTGATACAAAGCTGTAATGAGGCGAGTGTCCCTGTGGTGTAATTGGGAATGAATGTGCATGGCCAATAGTGTGAAGTCTCTGAAAAGTCACTTCAAGCAAAGTCCTCTGTTTGCTGCCAGAATGGAGGCTTCTCCGTTGTTTGCCTGTCTTTTCTGCTGGCAACTGAAATGTCTCTGGATCTGGTTTCCATGTTGCTGGTGGGTTCTCTTCATGCCCTCTTCTCAGGCATGGTATCTCACACAACTTTTTTCTACCCCCTGGTGTAGCAGTTTGACACGCTGCTGGTCAGCGTTGGTACGCTCCGGTCTGTTCCCTAAATGACTTTGTGTCTCCAGGGTTTTCTCTGGTGGCTCTGCAGTTGCAGAGCTTCAAATTCAGGGTCTTGGCTTATCTTGGAAGTTCTAGCTCAGTCCTCTTCCAAACTCTTCTGGTGTCTTTGCAGGGAATATGAAAACTTGAAGGAGGCTCGGAAAATCTCTAGTGAGATGACGGAGAAGCTGAAGAAAGAGCTGTTTTCTGTCAACAATAAGGTACAGGAAGCCAAGGTGACATCTGGTCAGCAGATATCTGTCTGTAACTGTGGTCTGAACCCTCTGCAGCGGCTCCTGCCCACACGGCACTACTTGAGCGGTGTGGTTGGTCTGGAAGTGTCAGGCTGGGGTTTCTGGGTCAGGGTACAGTGCTGCAGTGGGCGAGCAGCTCATGGGCTGCTGTCAGGAGTGCAGTCTCTGGGGATGCTGCTGGGGCAGCTCGTTTGGAGCCAGCTGCAGTTTGGCAGAGAGCCTGGACTGGAAGGCAAGAGCACACAGGTGCTCTGCTGCTTCCACTGGGCTCTAGAAGCAGCACTGCCTCCATCCTGCCACGCTGCTAAGCCTGAGCTGGCTCAGCGGCCAGCCCCTTCCTGATGCAGAATTGGGCCCCTAGGAAAGGTGGGAAGGGGTTTGGAGCCAGCACCAGTCAAGCAGGGCTTAGCCCTGGCTTGGCACAACCACAATCACACCCAGCCTCGTGCCTTCAGCAGGCTGAGCCAGGCCAGGGCTGCCAGGTGGTGCTGGGCCCAGGCAGGAGAGGTCCCCAAGGTGTGGTGAGGACACATAGGTGGCTCTGTACAGTCTCTGGGCTGGTCCTGACCTGGTGCAGAGCTTGGAGCTGCTGATGTGCCTCTGTTGCTGTGCTCGCCCTGCTCCAGGCCTGGCTGGGCTCTGTCAGGTCAGGAATCGCTTTCTGTCAGTTTTGGTAGCAAGTCTCCGTGAAAAGTGTGTGTGTGTGTGTGTGTGTGTGTGTGTGTGTGTGTGTGTGTGTGTGTGTAGCCTTGCTTTCCAAGGCACAGGTGTTCCTTGCGGTGTGCCTGCATCCAGGCTCACAAAGTGGGAGACTGTGGGTGGATTTGGCCTATTTTTGTTACCCAGCCATCGCTGTTGTGGTCCCCTCAAAGGGAGAAGGAGGTTCTCAGTTTGCTGTGAATTAACCCCTTCCATGAGCTGCTGCTGCTGCTGGAATTGATCTGCTCCTGGTTGAGTCAGTGCTCAACTGCAGTCACCGGCTTGAGACAGGAGGATGCGAGCCTGTGCTCAGGGCTCCAGTGTTGGCTGACGGAGAGCTGACTGTACTGACACTTAGTGGGCTGGCACAGACTCCTGAACCCACAGAAATCTCTCTTGTGGTGGCAGACACTTCTCGACCCCTGTTTCTGGCTTAAATCCCTGTTGAATCAGGCACGTCCGTGTGCCAGTACTGCTGATGCACAACCACCCTCCAGCTTGTGGTTTGTAATTCCTGTACTCTGGTGCGTCCGAAGTCCTGCAGGAATTCACATTGCAGCCACCAAGCGTTAGAGCAAGGAAAAGCTGTCACCATCAGGCATAAATGCTTGGGAAATGCTACAAGATGCAAGTGTTGGGCAAGCAGCCCTGGAGATCCCTCTGCAGGCAGCTTGAGGAAATGAGCAGGTATTGGATGCTCTGTTACAGGAGAGATTGGTCAGGCTGCCACAGGAAAACCGAGCCCTGAAACAGGGGAAAGTAGCAGGTACTGCAGAGCATAGGACTCTCCTGGGGGACCTGCAGTTTCCCTTACCTGTGTGTTGTAACCAGCGCTCTGCTGTCTGGGGGGGGGTTTGTTCTGCAGCTGCAGAAAACGGTTTCAGAGTTGGAGAAGACAAAGGAGGAGTTAAAAAGCACCCAGAAGGATCTGAAGAATGCGGACAAGGAGATCTTGGTGAGAATGTAATTCCTTGGTCTGCAGTAACTGGCAGCTGGCCATGGCCTGCAGTTAAAAGCCAGGAGTTATGCTGGCTCTTGCTCAGTGACTGGGTTACCCAGTGCACCTTACCTCTCTTATCTGCCCCACCTCTGAGCTCCACCCGATGCCCATTTATGGCAAAGGGGCAAAGTATCTGCTCCTAAACCTTTCCTTATCTTGCTGTCCACTTTCCCTTTTCCCTCCAGAGTTTGAAGAAGAAGATAGACATCCTGCAGGATACTCTGAAAGTCCCGTCTGTAACCAGAGAGACGCTCAGTCGGCTGGTCTTCGAAAGGTTAGTGAAGTGCGTCCTCGGATACAGGCCAAGGGTGGAGTAGAGCTGGCAGTTTAACTAGGCAGGGAGGCAGAGACATGCTAGCCTGGTGTATGTGGACTGGAGACCTTTGCCAGGCAGAGAAATCTAGCCTGAAAAATGGCATCTCTTAAGTTTTTATCAAGCCCAAGTCTGCGGAGCCTGTGCTGTTACCTCAGCGTGGGCAGCTGGGTTGTGTTTGCAGAGCAGCAGTGTGCCCAGTTTCCCTGGTCTCTGGGTGCTGCCGTAACAGCACAGGCCATTTGAGGGCAAACAGTAGTTTGGGACATTGACCATTAGCTCTGGGATTTGGACTCCTGTGATGTGCAAGCAGAGTGGGGCTCTGATCCTGGTCCCACTGCTGTCCTGTGATGTGATCGTGTAGCGTGCAGCTCTGTTTTCCTCTCGTCTGCTGGGCAGCAGGCAGTGGCCTCCTGATGGCTAATGCTTTGCGTGGCCTTGCAGCCCTACTCCTGTGGAACTGCGGCACCCGAAGCTCCACCACCCGGCCCACAGCGATGAGATCAATCTGGATGCCACTTACGATGTGGACACCCCTGAACATCAGCCCTGCAGTTCTCCCTTCAGCCCTGCAAAAAGGCAAAAGCTGGATAAAAAGCCGTGAGTTTTTCCCCTCATCTTTCTGCTTATAAAGGAGATCAGAGTCTGGCTTCTTTGGAAGCTGCTGTGTGAGATCAGATAGCTCTCCAGCTGCCTGATGTCGTGCTGCAAGTTTCATTGTCATCAGCTTGGCCTTGTCTGTCCTTGCCAGCTCCACTTGAACAATAAATCTCTGCTGATTTTCTCCTTGGGCTTCTTACAGGCCTCCTGTGGTAAATCTGGCAAAGAAAGTTCTGAAGGAAACAGTGGAGGTAAAAGGACTGATCTTGATTTTTATTTTTTTTCCCCTTCTGTATCACTTCTCTGATTCTGCTTTTAATAAGCTTGGGATAAAGGACCCATTTTCTCCAGGTAGGAGATGCTGTGACTGTGGACTGGTCCATCTTTAGAACCACCGTGCATGCTTCAAAGTGCTTTGCTTGGCAGGCTCCTAGAAACACTGCATTGCTGCCTCAGGCCTCCTGGAATTGGGCTGGAGAGGGAGGATGGGAACCCATGTGCTTCTTGCTGATTACCCTGCCTCAGATGTGCTTGGCAAACACAGTGTGGGGCTGACCGCAAGGGCCATGGGGTCAGCAAAGGGGGCCGTTCTCCCAGCCTTGCTGCATGCAATGTCCTGTCTCCCAGGCACTGCTCCATGTGAGGAAGGTTTGAAGCTGCTGTTCTTTGACCTGATGTGATATAGCAGTAACTATTACCCTAAATAGCTGACTGTGTTATTAGTGCTCCCTGTATGTGGACTAAATTCAGCAGATCATGCTGGTTAAAGGGCTTTTCTCATTATTTTGTGGGACAGAACTGGGCAGATGATCTGGAGGATGATGCTCTCAAAGGACTCTTGCCAACATTCATAAGGAACTCTGTTCTCTCCAAGAAGCCATCTTCGGGTAGCTTACTGGGTCCTCACAAGAACACGGGCACCGTAAGTATGACTGTCCAGTTGGTGATCTTGTCGAGGGCTGGCACTGCACACCTCTGTCCTGAAGTGACACTGCAGGAGGAAGCGAATGAAGCTCTTACCTTGCCACATACGGTGTGTGGAAAATAAATCTTGGAGCATGACCTGGCTGCTTCCCAGGTCTGCAGAGCTCCAGGGATGGCAGATGCTCATTCCCTTCCTGGCAGTAGATTAAATGGCCCTTCATGTCCAGTTCCTCCACCTCCTTGAATCTTTGGGTGTTTTCCTCTTATTCCTCAGTCCCACTAACAAAATCCTAAGCCTTCCTGCTGCTTGGAAGGCTCGTCTTACTTCAGAAAGTGCCCAGAATACTCAAACTTTAATACCCTTGGCTCCATCTTTTTCCAAAGGTGAGGGCTTAGCACAAGTACCGAGTCTTTCCAGGTGCTTGTAACCCCTCCCCAGCACCTGTAGCCTGTAAGGCACCCCACTTCCCCATAACCAAGGTGAGGAGAGATAGTTGAGACTCTGTGCTGCTGCTCTAAGGTTGTTTTTTCTCTCTCCTAGGTGAGGATGGGTTATGATGGCTTGGGAGGCAGAACAAAGTTCATACAGCCTGTATCCTTTCCTGCAGCTCACATGGCAGTAGTGATGCTGTGGGGACCTAATCTCTGTTCCTCATCTGCTGTCTCAGCCATCCTGGGGAGTCCTGCCCCCTCGCCAACCAAAAATGTGCTGGGATCCTCAAGGAACCATCAGATTTCTCTCTGACTGAACAAGTCTGAGCTTAGCGAAGGTATCAAGGACCTGAACTTGCTTGGACCATTATCTGTGGTGATCTATCCAGAGGAGCACATCAACTGGAGACCAGTACAGTTTGCAGGGGCTGCCTGTGCCCTTGGCATCTCTTTGTGGCTGTGTGCCAGGCACCCAAAGCCTTGGTTCCTGCGGGATGCTGCTGCTGTGCTGTGCCTGTCCTGGTGGGCAGCCCTGCAGCAGCTTGTGCTGAGCTCACCCAGCTGGGGAGCTGCTCTGACACCCACTCCTCATGCAGGAGCAGTGTCCCCTCCCCTGCCTTCCCCAGCAGAGAGGGCAGGGAGGAGACTGTCAGAGGGGGTGTGTGGTGCACCTATGGCTTTGACACCTCTCTAGCTCCTCGTGCTGGTTCTGAGGGTTGTTTTTAGGGGTTTTTCTGCTCTTTGTGGAAAACCAGGAGGCTGAAGCAGAGAAGAAGCAATTGGCTGCAGCTGCTGTGAAGCCTTGGGCAGCTGCTCCTGTGGCAGGGGGGGGGGACCCAGTGGCAGGGA